ATTATTCACAGACAGCTTCCCTTACTTGCTCAAAATGACGTTTATAACAACACATCTCCTGCACATAACACCTAATGCTGTGTTTACACAGGAACAAAGCAAATATTATTTCTAACGTTGTACTACCAATGCAATCTTTTCATAGAACAGAGAACAATTAAAGTAGATGAAATGCAGTTCATTATTATCATTACATTTAATGTGTAAAAATCCATCCATTAGCCTCCTAGCCTCTCTATATGAGAGAACACTTTGTCTACACAGGTTATGAGATCAAAATAACTTACTGATTACTAGTGCAAGTGAGGAAAAGAGACCACGAGAACTGCAAATTCACACTGGATTCAGTTGCTACAAAAAACTAAATGAAATTCCAATGCAGTGACTGTCATGTCATTATAGTAATATATGAGAAAACACTTTGAATGAGGTGAATATAGATTTTTTACTTTAAATTAACCATCATCTTTTCAAACAGGATTTTTTCACAGCCGATATTTTCCACATTTGCAGCAAAAGTACACAACGCATCACCTTTTTGCTTCACTTCTATTATTAAAATGAGTTTGAAATAGGCCTAAACAAGGCTGAACAAGTAATGGAAATATATTATCGAAATAGCAGTAAGGAGGTGCAATATTTGTTAAAGGCAAAAAGTGTGCCAAATACCATTTTAAATTAAATATTGACATGTTACAGAGATGTCCTGGTCTACACATCATATTCTACAGACTTAAGAAAATATCTTTGTTTGGTAATACAGATCCTTGCCAAAAAATGCACCAAGATCACTTATATATGTTTTTCAAAGAAAATGAGAATAACTATGTATAAATGATCCTTCCCTCCAATATCACCATTAATTTGTCAATTGCAATATCAGTCAAAATAATTGCAAGTAGATATTTTTTCAAAATCATTCAGCTCTTGGCCTAACAATTAGACACCATGACCATAGTGTTACGTGCTCCCTTTGAAAGTTCTTGTGAAGCCGCCCTCACCACAGTGTCTGCATTGATCAGGTAGAGTGGAAAGTGAATGATTTATTTTATGCCTGATGTCCATGTTCAATCAACTCTAAAAATCCATTCATAATTTTCTTAGATTTCCTATTGAAGTAAAAATGAACACTATCATTTGTCACACAGGTACAGAGGCTGCTAGTATACTAGAAGAATGAGGAAACACTGACTGTCTTGTGTTTGCAGGTGTGCACTCTGCAATGGGATCGTAGTATAGTGCTGGCAGGGTAAAAAAAAAATCTCTTGTATAACCAGTGCCATATAAAACACTTCTCTGAAATGATGTTAGCTGGGGAACAAGAAGTTTCACTGTATAATAAATAATATCAGATCCAGAGTGGAGCTTCCATTTATATACACATTTCATCCCAAATAGAAAAACTGCTTGTAAATATGGTTACAAAACACATCCATAGCCTACTGAGACTTGCAGGGCTGTAGTCTTGTTTCTGGATTATATTTCTAGAAAGCACCTATTGTAGGTTTCCACAATATGTGCTCCATAGCTGCATCAACAGATGCAGAAATTCAAAATCAAAAAGCTTGTAGAAACCACTGGATAGACACAAAGAGTTGACCTAAATAAAGTCTCCTGGCCAGCACAGATGTTCCAGATTCTAATAATGAGAGAGCCTGTGCAGGAGGAAAAGCTGTTTCCCAAACTGCAAAGCAGGTTAGAAACTGAGTTTTCACCTCAACACTGATTGTGGGTGTTGTGATTTTAGCCAGTATCAACTTATTTTCACAACATTTATTAAGAAGTAGCACCACTACAATCCCCTGTGCATAGTATTGCTTTATTGATTACTATTTGGTAGCAGTTCTGTCACTCCTACAACATTGTTCTCAGCTCTGTTTCTCAGCGTTGTTCATTTGTAGCAGTGATCTGATGTAATGATACTGTTGATACTAACTCAACATTTGTCTCTCCACAACAATGTTTCACGATTATTACAATTATTATGCATTAATTAATTTCACAGCTCTAGTAATGACTTAAGTTGATTTTTAATAATTAATTACATTAACAATTATATTTCTATAATATTTACGTATTAATTATATAACAGGAATATTAACTTTATTTATCCCCCAGTGTTATTGAGGAGGGGAATAAACTGAACTGAATTGTCATCAACTCTCACCTATGTAAGTTTTAGTGAAAATGATGAAAGAAATTGAGTGCAGTGTTCTGAAATCTGAAATGCGGGTAATTAGTATAGTCCTGGAAGTCTGTTAGTGTTTTACACCTGGCAACATTTTTCTCAACACAGACAAGAGGAGGCAACAGGGTGTAAAGTTAAATGTTCAGTGACTGAAGGTCTTGAGAGGGCTACGTTCTGTCTTCCATAAAGGCCCTTTAGAAAAGATGATTTTCACTGCGTGGAAGCTTCTGCTCAGCGCCAAAGTTCAACTACTTTGAATTTGACTGTTTATGCTGCGCTGAAAGCTCGACTCTCACCGCTTTCGGCATCGATTGTAAGTGACGCGTTTATATTTAATTCCCTACCAACTTGCCACATTATTTAACTCAAGTCATTATGTTACCATTACTTGGATGTGTAAAGCTGGGTGGTGGTCCCAGGTGCTGCATCAAGTTTGATGTAGTTATTCGCTCCTTTAGCAGGAACCTTTTAACAGCGAGTTTGAACAGGTGATCCGTCACCTCTTAAATAACGCCCTGGTCAGTCCTGGTGTAGGCTCGCCGAAATTCTCCCACACTGCCGAGTTCAGCCATTTCTTTAGTGGAAATAAAGCTTCACAGTTTGGTCTCTCTGCCGTAGTTTAGCCAGTAAACAGTTGTAGCCTCCTTGTCTGATAAGCACGGCACTTTGCACCGCACGTGTAACTTTGTTTTCGTTTTGTGCAAGTTGCAACAGTTTCGTTCCCTGCAACAGAAACACTCGGTGTAGCAGAGCCTTTATGATTAATTAACTGTGACATTTTAAAGTGCTCTTAATAGTGAAATTTGTTAATTGCTGCATCCCTAGCTACAATGCTAGTCAGGTAAGATTCTAGAAATATAGAATTGTACAAACATAGTGAGTTTGTACTATTTTATACTTTGACATTGGTGTAGGACTGTATAGATCCAATCTATGTATCCTATCTTTCATAGTCCGATGGATCTTGCTTTCCCCAGGAACACTTGTTTTCCTGTTAGAGGTTTGCTTTTGTACTGTGCCCATCTCCTGAATGAGCCTAGAGTAACTGTGCTGCAAACTTTAGAAAACCTCCACTATAGGAAACTTGGCCATTTTAAAGACAGAGGGTGTGACAGGCCCCAGACAGATGCACCATTATGTATGTATCCATCACCACATCTATCTACGTCAGTCTGTAAAGAGAGAAATGGGAGAGGGAAAAATACATAGAGAGGGGGGGGGGTGACAAGAAAGAGGCCCAATGAAAAAACAAGTAGGGAAAGCAAATGAATAGATCAAAAGAAAAAAGAAAAGGGAAAGAAAGGAAATAAGAGGCAAAGAAGAAAAAAAGAACATGAGCAGAAAGAGAGACAGACAAAAAGGAAAAAAAAACTAAGTATCATTGTCACGTCAAGACAGTTGACTGGACAAGAATTGATGATGCAATAACAGGATATCATCATGTCGTTGGCATTAAGTGCTGCACTGAGTCAGACAACTTCTATTTACATATCGAGAGCTAGATTTTCTTTCTCGCTTCTTCTCCCTCCCCTCAAACCTTCTTCTGACATTTCATCCATTTTTTCTGTATCCTATTTCTGCCTTCCCATTCGCTCTCTCTCTTTCTCTCTGTTACTCTCTCTCTCTCCCTCTCTCAGCCAGTTAATTGGTGCTTATGAATTAATGAATGCAGATCGATCGAGGCCTGACACAATGCGCAGCCCTATTGTCATGCTTTTATATTATGGTTGGTTGTAAGAGTGTAGTTACAATGTGGTGTGGTGTGTGTGTGTGTGTGTGGGTGTGTGTGTGATTGGGGGAAGGGGTGGCAGGTGGTGGCAGGCACAACCAATAGCTGTTATTTACTTTACAGATGTGTGTGTGTGTGTGTGTGTGTGTGTGTGTGTGTGTGTGTGTGTGTGGTGACCACAGTCTCTTCCTTCCAAAGACAATGTCACAGCTTTATTAGAGCTGTACATCACTGGCACACACCAGTGTATGTGTGTGTGTTTGTGTGTGTGTGTGTATGTGTGAGACAGAAGACAGAAACGGAGATATGAGTCCTAATTTTACATTTTGCCATCAAACATGGCTAATAATGTAATTTGTCTGGGAATTTTCTATATTGCTTATGTTGCGTTTTGATCTAAAGAATGACTTGCAAACTGCTCTGCTTTTGTGGAAAAATGA